TTTGTTCATTCAATCGAAATACATTATTCGATATTGTCCTCGTCAATTATCAAAGACAAATCGAGCGTTTGTAACTTTCCGAATCAACGATTGCGTTCAGCAGAAAAAGCAACTATTATAAGATTCTTTATTATGATTATTTTATATTGTAATTTATATCTATTTTACTGTGTGATTGAAAAAAAATTTAATAAAGCTTAATATATTTCTCTTTAAACAGTACTTACTAAGTAAACATTTACTTATTATAAATATTTACTTAATAAAAAAAATTTTATTTAAAATTAACAATTAACAATACTTAAATTAAGTATTTTCGTCAGATAAATATATGTTCACGTTTGGTAAATATTTACTTAGAACTTTTAAACAAATATTTATTAAAATTTAGTATTTTTTTCAGTATATATTTATACATTGATTAGTTACGTAGATCCTGTTGGACTGAAGAGCAAGAACCAATCATGTTCATCAAGAATCTTACAACAATTATAAGATTTTTTTTTTTTTTGCTGAACACAGCCATTCTGAACTCCGCGAAGTGTAACACCAAGTCAACGCAACTGTTTTGCGACGTAGAACTTCGTCACGGTCGCTCTCGGAAAAGTCACGTTGCAAAACTCGCGGAAAATTGTTTACGACACGTCATAGCGGCGGGAAACGGAAGATCGTTTTGTCACTGGCCTAATAGAACGCGCAAATTATGGCGACATTAAGATTGCGCGTTCGTTGTCTCTTCGTTGACAATCGCGGGAGAAAGCACGACAGAGGTGACGCAATTTGTGACGCGTCAATCTGGCTTCCCATCACGCGAGGAAAGGATTGTCTTTCATGGAAAGCTGATCCCGACTAACTACGCTTATATCAATGACATTTAACTCGGGATAGAAGCATTTTAATAATGTGCTCTATTGGAAAAAGTTTTTAATATATTTATTAACTCTGATCATCTATAACATTCTTTCAAAGAACCAGCTTCATATATTACTTTGCTGATATAAGTTTAAAGTTCGAAGTACTTTGTGAATTACATCAAGTAATTGAAGGGTATGCAATCTTCCCCTTCTCTTTTCTATTGATCTTTTATTTTACGTATGATTAATGATCACTTAAAGCTGCCGGAATTAACATCATTATGATTTAATCAACCTTTACTCTTATTACTATAATTACATTTTATATCTTTAGTCTGTATCATGCTGAATGATTAATGATACTTTAATATTTCATTAACGTAATTTATCGTTACAATCGTTTTATTATTAAAATGTCAATAATACCTCATGCGTAACGTTAATCAATCCAATAAAAAATGGAACGATTATACTTTTCAGCTAAACTCGTTTAATTTTCTATCGACGAAACGTTTCCGGGCTGTCGAACGCGTGGTGAATTTATAATTAATAAGTAAGTGGTACATATTATATATATGTCAAGAATTACTGTCACGTTTCAATAAACCTTTCTTTCTCCATATCGTGAATTAAAAGGATATGTCGAAGTTTCAAAATAACAGATCAGCCATTGCCTCTGAAATATTCATCTTTGTCAAACCTCTATTTTTTGTTACGTTGCTTTTTTAGGTCTGATCTTCTACCTGCATGTTTCCATTCATACAATTCATGAAATTTTTATCACCGTCAAACCTCTATCTTTTATGTTACACTCTTTTTTATTAAAGTCTAAGCTTCTACCTGCATGTTTCCATTTGTACAATTCATATTTCAAATATAACATCATCATGTCTCCATTTGTACACAATAATTCTGGTTTTGAATATTGAAAATATTTTAAGGCATTTTAAAGAAAAGATTTTCTTTACATTTACTATTGTCAGCAGAGTCACGGTAAGAAATCCGTACGATGATTTATTACATCTATATGTTTTATTCACCTGGCTTTTGTTCGCGCTATGAGCTTTTCTTTCACAAGGCAGATGTAAGCGCATGTGATAATCGATGTGACACGAGCTCTCGCTAGTAACGATTGATAAGCAATCTTCATCAATCAATGCCCTTGGTGCTCGACAGTGCAGTGTCGCTTGTATCTAACAAAGTCAGCTAGTGAACCTGGCATATTAGTGTCCATACGAGGACATCGATCGTCGTTCGAGTGACTTCATACACGAAGCACGCACGCGGAAGATCAGGCTGCAAGAAACGGCTCGCTACGTTTGCCGAGTACATAATGGTGATAAAAACGCTGTCGAAGAAATTTTCTAAACGTATTATTGATATTTGCCATTATTAGGAATGTTTCGAATTAACAATCAATTGAGTTAATTTAACATGGAACGGATAAAAATAAATTAAAATATAATATAGATTTACAATTTTCTCATATAAATCCTGATCTCACAAAAATTGCCTATTAACTTAACAGTGTAACTTGGATTTACGACAATTAAAATGAATAGCTTCGCGTCTTACGACTGCAAGAAAAGATGAGCATACAGATTTTCCACTTTATGCTACTAATGTTGATGAAATGCAAATTAACATTAAAATCAAGAAATATGATCATCTATTATAAATAACAGTCAAAATAAACTATCAAATCGCAAGATTATTATCTGATGATAAACTGTTAATAACTATAATTTTCTAATGATAATCTATTGATAACAGTAATTTTACACAGTTATTAAATAAAAGTAGATAAACAAGTTTCTAATAACAGCTGATTTAATTAGTAGAGAAGCATCGTATATTTCTCGTCGTAGTCGATTAACCTAATCTTTGAATTACTTCGTGGAATGTCGCGCAGATAAAATCTGATTTATTCTGTCTCTGGTTTATTCGCGAACAGACGTCGCCATCGAGACGACATGCGTCCTCGACGCATAGCGCTTGCGTAGCAATAGAAAAAAAGTGACCCCAAGAGGGAAGTCCGCACTAACGAAAGAACCATTAGATGTAATGTATATTATTTTCCAGCATTTTTACGATTCGATTGCGCCATTTCTTGTTGCTTCATGAACATTCTTTTTGACGTTTACCTACTGTAACAAACATTAATACTCATTTAAGATACACTAAAGAAGTTACGATGTAAAAACATAATAGAGAGATTAGAAACATTCGCTGAACTATCAAGATAATTGTATGTACAGGTACTGTCGTAGACTAAAATGCCAAACCTTTTTGCAGCATTGCTGTCGTGCTTGAATTTCCTACACAATAATTTTGATCCAACAAAATTATTTTTAAATCTGTATTTATATATCTACATTTTTAAATACTTTGGTAAAATTATTCTTTTCATATATAAATAATATAGTAGTTAACTTAATTTTCAAAACTTTTTATTTATACATTAATGTTATTATATTTTCTATTAACTAATTTTTATTTTCAACTACTGATTTTACTCTAAGAAGTTAGTTAATGTCTTAAAAATCCTAAAAACTTTGTCTTATCGATTAATATAAACGAGTATCTCGTACATTTGATTAACCGCAAAAAATATTCGTATAAGATATTCTCAGAAATATTCTCAGAAATGATTCGTTGTATGCTCAGTAGTTTCGGTGCGTATTCGTGAGAAGCATTTTCCAACGATAAAAATGGTCTTGCCGCAAATTACTGTAACCGCAACAAGAGCCGCTTCTTCCATACAACTGCGATATTCTTATAATATGATTCCGCATTCGCCGGGTCATACCACCCACGTTTCTTTACGATTTGTACTAGATTTTCGCGCACAAATCTTCGACTGCGTAAATGGACCTGTGGATGATGCGCATATATTCAAAGAAGGGAAAGAATTGCTCATGCAAAGAAACGACAATTTTTTTATAACGAATCGCGAGAAGCTTAACGAGACGATCAAACGATTCGACTGTGAAGCGATTCACAATGGTAGTTATGTATATAGTAGTTACACTATTAAGTGAAAATTAACCGAGAAAAGTTTAATAGAAATAAGTGAATGGGGACATATTCAAAGCGAGTCTTAGTGCCTAATAATATTTATATGTGTGAATTTTTACAATTTCCAAAGATGCTCATTGGCATCAGTAATATTAATGTTGCCTTGTCAATTTAATTTGTATCAATTTAATTACCCCACCTTCAGTTTAGAACTGCTAAAACTGACAAATAAAGCACGCAGTTTGTTTGAACTAGAAATTGTAAGAATTCACATAAAAATATTACTAAGCACTCATTTTGATTGAATATGGCCCTCATGTGTGCATAAGTTCACTCATGTATGTGTAATAGTTAAGTTTGATTGAAGAGGGAATTACATAATTTAGATATGACAAAGGAGTTTTAATAGGAGTAAAATCACTTTTTGAATATAGACTATTCAGTTACCGTGGCTAAATTTATAATCCCCTCTTATAAACGGTTCCCAAGCCGTCTAATTGCTTGGATTATGACCCAGAAAATGGTTGTGGCCAAAGTTATTTTAATGGTCGACTGGCTTTTCTGTCGCTGAAAGACGTTGGTTCCCTTTTACGTAATTTCGTGCAACCGGAAGAAATAAAAGGAAAGCATAAAAATTACAATACTTCTGATATTATTTTAGCATCAATTATTGTTCGACATTATTTTTCGAAATTAATTTTTAGAAGATATTTATAATTGCATAGCCTTATTGTTGATGAAACTTCTAATTTTATTTTCTGTCATAAAACTATTATTATCATCATTAAGCGCATCGATGTGGTTTTCAATCAAAGCTGCTTATGGATGCTGTCAATGTCACATAAAATCTTCATTCTTTTCTCCGAGATAGAAAATTTCTCGCGTGATGCAGCAAGAGCTTCCTAGCTCGAGCTCGCGCGTATGCACGAAAATCGAATCGCTCGATGAGCTTTTCCGCGTACGTGAATTCCACGCGAAAACTCCCTTGTTCTTTTTGATGCGGAAAACGCATCTATCTGCCCGCGCTGCATCTCTTCTGGCGCCTTGTCGGTCGTTTCCGACGTTCGTCGGTGTCGCTCGTGAACGCGATGAGACGGACTCGCTCAGTCGAACGCTGACCGTCGTGCACGTGAGACCGCTTGTGAGAGAACTTGGTGTCAGCCACGCAGCCACGAGTCCTGCCGGCTATCGAGATCCAGCTGTTAAAGACAACCCGGCAGATTGACGGCTTGCTGCGTGGGAGACGCGTCTCATCAAGACTCCACCTTTTTCTCTGTCGTAACGACGAGAATAGATCGTTCGGTGTCACAAGACTGACTTGTTGTCAGAATTGTCAATTCCCACTTGAAGGAACGTGAGAACCGCTGGAACGACAGCGTTGAGGAACGTGGGCGGGATTAATTAATATTCCGTGCTGCGTAAATAGTGGAAGTGCCGGCGATATTGTATCGATACGAAGTTCACCTGCGACAAAGTAGATAGCGCACAGCTGAGTTGTGTGAAGCGCGACAAAGTTTGAGTCGCTTCATGAATTACTTGTGTTTGGATCTACTGGGTAAACTTCTCTCCCTTGGGAGTTCATTCTCTCAAATTTTTCGCATATCACTAAGACTCAGTTGAATCTGAAATCCACGAAATAGACAGAACAAGGAAAAATTACTTGTATCTGTCACGAACTGTCAAATTGTGGAGCTCAGTCAGAAGAAGGAACGTCTTGATTCCTCTCTGGCATTGAGGTTTCGCGCGCGGATCGACCTTACGAAACTCGCTTCGAGCACGAGGAGTTCGTCGTCTCCTAAACGAATTTAACGAGCGAACCCGTTCAGACAATTCGTGCCACTTTACGCGGCGAAAGATCGGCCAGTATTCCCTTTCTCCCTCTTTCTTCCTCTCCGTCGTCGACGTCCGACAAAAGTTGATTGACCGACGTGACTCACGGGATCACAAGTCACTCTTGAGCTGTGGTAATCGTCGCGTCGTGTGATCGCGGAGGCATTTCTCACAGTCTTATCGCGTCATCGCCGAGAAAAATACATCGATCGTATGATATTGCATTATTGAAACATCGCCGATTGCACCTTGCGACAGCCTAGGATTAAATTATTGATCGCTGACGTGTGTTATCGAAATTAATCGGAGTCGAAGAAGGAAGAATCAACGAAGAAAGTGCACTTCCCAGGACGTACGTTGCGATCATCGTACTCGAGTCATTCATATTCTTCTAATTGAATTTTAAAGAGTAGATCTCTCACGATGACAGAAGACAGTGATTCTTAGAAGCTGCTACGATCAACGTTCCTAGCAGCTGATTCGCGTATCGCAAGTCATACTCTCTCGAGGATTTATTCTGATTCCTGTCTCCTCAACAAGATCGAGTGACACGCTAGCTTTACGTTTCCGACATCAGGATTAAGTACCCGAAGACGGGCGCTGTTAGGAAAGGCGGTCACGTGCCACCTGTTACAAACCGATCCGCAGTGCGGAAGGGTCGCGGATCGCCATCGTGGATCAGCGTGTCGGGCGTCAGGCGGTCGCAGGAGAATGCGGCTTTGCGTGGCGACGCGATCCTGGCTGATTCTGACGATAGGATGTTGACGGCCCGTTCGGGGCCTCTCGGGCTCGGCGTGCCACGAACCCTGGGCCCCGCGGAGGGAAGCGATCACCTCTTCCTGCTACCGGAACGTGCTCTCGGCATGGACAGCACTCACCTGCGACAGGACCTGGCTGGCCTGGACTTTAATCTGCACCTGAACCTACTGCACACCGCGCCCCGCGGCAACGTCTGGCTATGTGAGTTATTGAACGGTATTGACTTGTGTGACAAGAGAGGAAGGTGTCGTAATTCTCGAAATATCTCCGACGTCTATTTTCCCCTGATTTTATTTGCCGAACTCATTCTTTCTGATTCTCCCGGTCTTGAGGAAGAAAATAATTCTGTCTATGTGTTATTGCGACTTCTACACTTTTGATTATGTGAATGAGTTAATAAATAGAATGAAAAAAGAGAGAAAATTTAAATAATTCTGAATAAAATCAAACGAATTATTTCCAATTTTTAATAAAACCATTAAAAAACATAACATTTACAGGACAGAAAAATTATTATAATGGTATTAAAACAATGCTATATTTTATATTATATAAGGCAAGGAATATAATAATGTATTTTATAATAATATATTTTAATAAATCTTACTCAAGAAAAGCTAAAGATTTAACAAATAGAACCTCGCTTTCTAAAGGTTAATGGAAACTCAATGAAAACTCAAATGATTGAAGGATAATATCTAAAAATTTTTTTATAAACAAATACATAAATAAAATTAAATTTTTCAATTTATTTTAAATTGATTTAATTTCTCGAAGGAATCTTATTATTATTATTATAGTATTCAATCGTAATATTGTTTTATACTATAACACGTGTTATCTTATACTATAACACGATACTTATACTATAACACGATAATCAACAGAGTAATTTCTATGTTTAAGTCTTTATATCCATCTATTACTTCAATTGACGAGGATTAATCGGCTTCTTGATCCCGGGAGATAACAGATAATACAAGAGGATTTGGACATTTATTTTTTTAAATAAAGGCACATGTTCAGATAAAGATTTTCTAAATAGCTTATCTATGTGAATATGGAATTCTCACTAACTTATCTGTTTAAATAGGGAAATTGCCTTAAACGAATAACATCGCGTTTATATGATTCTATGTAAAACAATTACATTATTTTTTAAATGAAATCCAACATATAGATTTTCCAATTATTTCAAAATACACCGATAGCATCCGAGCTATTCGAATCCCAAATGTCGATATCATTAATTTTATCTGCGCGCGCGCGCGTGTGTGTGTAAAATTCCTTTAACAAAGAATTCAGAAAAAATTCGATGATTCGACTAATAAATAAAGATAAAGAAATACAATTGTACTAAAATACACTTTCTGTAAGCGTCACTTTTGTGTCATATTTATAATTTTTTATCGCAAAAACATTATATGCCAAGGCTTTACTTTATGACGCAAAAATGTTCTTATGTTACCATATATTTCTTGGTACTTTATTATCTTGAGGTACGTATCTCTGTGATATTAGATGTTGAAACGAGACGCATATAAATTCGGTTGCTCTTGTTTTTCGATCTCTCACGTGCCATGTCAATAATAGATATGGTTCGCGGTATTCTGTTCCGTAAAAAGCCGTGAATTGTTCTCGCGAGATCGTCGGGTGCGATTTTCATCAGAATTTCGCGGGATGAAATTGCGAGCAGAGGAAACCGAGGAAGAATTATTGACAGTCGAATGTTACTCATAATTCTTGTGCGCGAAATTCGCGAAGAGAAATACGGAAGAAGATAAATTACAATAGTGTATAAAAATATGTTTCGAGGCATGAAAGAAAGAAGCTAGCCTCGCGAAACTCAGAGTCTAGAAAGAGGTAAGAGATACGGAGAGAGAGTTAACAGGTGTGCCGCGAAATTATCGCCAATTAAGTGCTTTTTTGCCATCGGTAAAAGCGTAAAAGCCGCGCTCGCGAATGAATACCGTGCAATTATGATGCTTCGTCATCGTGCCTTTTTTTTTTCGCGATCATCCCGGCATGAGGAGCGACTGTTAATTTGGCGGATGGAATTTAATTAACGCGAATTGGTGCATTCGTTTTCGTTGCGCCACGCGCGCCAGGTCGCGAACGATTCCTCTTCGCAGACGTGTATTTATTAAACACGAATACATCCATTACTTCTTACGGTGCTTGACATTATTACAACGTATTTCTTTCCTCGTAACTGGCGATAATTGGAGCAGGATAAAATGAATAATTAACGTGTGAACACACGCTGAGTATAAGTTATTACATGTCTGGTTGAGATGTTCTCCTCGGTCGCAAAATATCGTTTTGGCAAATTAACGGTAAAATTATACGTCTTGCAGATTGAAAAATTTTATGCTGTTAACGCGTATGGCGATCTTATATTATCCCACAAGCATGTTATGAAAATTTTAATTCATTCGGAGGAATTGCGCGTTTTTCAATTAATGGAGGTTTACTGAATGACAAAAAACTTATCCTTTATTTGTTAAATAGCGAGGGAATTGTCTCTAACTTGTCGAATGACAAATGAGCGTCTTGTTGAGTCGTAAATGATGATAAATGTGAAATCGTAAACGAAATAACTCACTTTGAAGTAACAGTAGCCTCTCGGTAATAGATACTTTCCCTGAAAAGTAATTTTCCTCTGTTTTTGTGATCGTAATAAAAACGTAAATCATTGCGATAAATATCGAAACGGCGTTCTTTTAACTTCCTGTAAAAGGTATAGTAAAAGTCTGTTTTTGTTGACTGTTTGTGTAAACTTCCCGCAAATAAATTTTTCGATTATCTTTATGAAAATATAAATATAATAAGATATAAAAATTTTTTATATATTTATATATTTTACTTCCCGATTAGAAAAATGTTTTGATGTGATAATTTTTCGAAAGTTAAGAAATGTCAATGAAACTTTCTTTTCTGTGGAAATGATTGCTCTTAACGTTTATTAATTTGTAGCACAGTGAATGAAGATATACTAGCGCATGAAGATTTTATTAAGAAATCGTGGCTGTACTTGTCCCATATCACATTAACGGTTTATTCCTTATTCGATACATAATGCTGAGCGTGAAATGACGCGTGACGCGTGTAATGTTCAGAAATTTGTGCAAAATATCGACCTGATGATCGCGTGGAAGTCGCCGTATCCTCGATTGAACATTAATAAGGAGGTGTATTAACCCAGATGAGGGGGAGAGGGACTTTATCGTATCCTCTCTTGTGCCGCGCGCGATTACGGAAAGTCCAGCAAGAAGATCGTTACGATTTATATTTATCAGTGGTCGACGTACTATATTATTACGGTTTTTGTAATGGCGGTCAATTCATGACGTTAATGTTCATATTCGCGAAGCTCGCAATAGGAAGATGTTGCACGAGACATGTTCAGTAGCATATTTCCCGCTCGTTTTTTCTTTTTCTTTTTAATTACGACAGCTGTCTCCACGCACGCTCGACAGCACTGTAAAGATTTATGAAATCATCCAGGATGTGTTTCATTTGGCGCACCGCGGGTGCCATCGGATTACTCTGAGGTAGACCGTGTCCGATTTGATATACAGAAGTACTGCGCTACGTTTCCTACTTTTCTTACATCATTAATATATACAGATTGTACAGGAGAGAGATGCGTCGACAGACAACTCGCACGGAGAAAAATGGAAAATAATATGCTAATAATAATAATAATACTAGTAATAAGTTCATAAAATTTACTAGAATTATAGTAAATTTTGTGCAATTGGCAGATTCAGATATAGAAACAGGTACCCACTTATGTAAAATTTACTTTACTCGTAAATGAGCAATCGTTGTATAGAGGTATATTATATAATACTTTTTACATATTTCATAAATCAAAGTAAATCTATAAATTACCATACATCTCAATAGAATTTACTTTATCAACAAGTATTTTTGAGAGCCTTAGCGCTGACAAAATATACTTTACTGTACGGTAAAAAATACAAGTGTGTAAAGTTTTGAGAGTTGCTCTTGTTTACAGTTTGGAGAATAGTGTGATTGTTTTACTATAAGATATAATTATTTGAATGTATTTATTATAATTGTAATGTACTTTTTATTTCCGATATTTTTATTTTCAGACAAATAAAGTTTGTCATAAATTCGACAAAAATATTTAGAATATTTTTTACTAGTTAAAGTAAACTCTACTTAATTTTTTCCGTGCTAATAAAATCGAAAGGATACCGAAGAGTGTTTCTGAGTATTTGGGAAATCGAATATTTAAAAATACCTAGGATCTTGTTTTTTTTATTTGAAAATTCAAAAATATGATGAATGAAAGATTTTAAAAAATCATAGTTTCAAAATCTGTAATTAACCAAAATACGCAAGAATTAACGTATAAATCTTTGTGATCTTCTAATTTAATAGCTTATGATTTCGTAATATGACGTAAGTTTAAGAATATAGTTCTCGTATTTCATATCAATTTGCGTTATTAAAATTTACAGTCCCCACGTGTTCAGAAGGCGGACAACGGTTGCTCGAGCGAATTCACGCAGGTGTCACGGAATTATTTCGCGTGTCTAAGGGGATAATACATAATATTAGCTTTATACTGGCAAGCGGTACGCTTTTAAATATTAATTTGCTAAACGGAGACAGGACGAACGCACCACGGAACTGTAAACTCGATCTCGAGCAAGTTAAAACAGGCTCGTAAAACGAACTTACAAAATTGTGAGTTGCCATATTCGCATTGCGATTTTTTTATTGGTGCAGTTTGAAATGTCTTACAATTAGTCCTGTCGCTACTTTTCTATGAGACAAGCAATGTAATCTGTGTAGTTACAATAGAAAACTAATAAAATTAATTTATTCCACGTATAACGTAAATTAATTAAATGTCTTTTAAATGTGACAAGATAAATATCTTACAACTATCACAATGTTAATACAGCATAAAATATACTCGTCAATTTTGCGAAATCAACAGTAATTTAATAGTTATTGTAATATATAGCGACACGTAGGAATAACGATGAAACGATGATGACAGCTGTTTATCTTAATATAGTGGTTCGATCGAAGCTAATCAAAGAGATTGGTTCTCGCGCTGTATGCACTGTCACATTATAATGATTTACAACTGCAGCATGTCACAGCACATCTATGCTATTCGCTTGTACGAAGCGCGATCGATATCGATAGAAAGT